TGAGCAGGGAGGTTGGACTAGATGATCTCCAGAGGTCCCTTCCAACTTAAACCATTCTGCGATTCTATGAAAGTGGTATTGCTAGCAAAGGCACTCAGAAGTGTGAGTTTCACAAACAGGCCTCACATTAATTGGTTCATGACAAGCACGAAATCCCAGATGGGTCTGGTGAAGGCCCTTTGTAGTTAACTTTTTGGGCTCGCTGTTACCAGATCACATGTCACAAGCCAGTGCCCCAGAAGTCAACGGAGGTCTCTGGAGCGATATTTTTCAGTCCTAGGTAAAGGTTACAAGTTAAAGCAACACACAGACTGCAGCATCCGGAAAACTTAATATAGCTAGCTACTAGTTACAGAATTAATTTTAAGTTAAGGCAAGCTTCAAAAAAAATCGATGCTTTTACTCTTGCAGAGTGGAGTAAGAAATTCAGACAGGTAAGGGTGAGTATGAGACCAGCAAACTGTCAGGAACTTTTTGTAAATCTTGATTACTCTGGGCAGAATCAGTGAATAGCAATAGTTCATGAAATGGGCTAATTGCCTAGCCCTCTTGCAACATCTTTTTCTTTAAATTGCAGTCACTAATGACTGAGTGCGTCAGTCTCACCACAGGGACGCTTGAATGAAGTCACTGCAAAGCAGTATCTGCAGAACTACATGTACTATCTAAAACCCTTCAAAATTCTTTTAATTGAAAGCACAGAAGAGAATCTGTAACTTCTAAATGCTACAACAAAGTGCTGAGCCATTTACAATGACATGAGCTTGATAGAGTGGGTGAGATGATCCCATTGTTTCCCTATGAAGACTTGTCTTTCTTCTTCCTGCTTCTGCACAGAAGATCTCAGAGTTTCTTCCTCCACCTACAGAGCTCCTGGAAGAAGCTGTCAATATTTCATACAAAGTTCAAACATACCATGTTTTTATCCTAAAGTTTATTTACATTTCTTGATTACACTTGTTCTGGCTCATTTCCTTTGTTTCATTCTTGCCAGAAAACCTTGTTAGGGTGCTTGTCAGTTATTAATAAATTGAGTCAAACAGTAGCTAGTGTGGTTCAACAATTTTGGCAAATATTAATGAATGCCATTTTTATTGTTAGCAGAATTTTTAGCCCCGTTTTCCAATCAAACACAAATTCTAGCCCTTTAACATCTGTTTTTGCTATATTGAGATTGGCAAGAAAACAAATTAACGGAAAATTAGATTTAAAGATACATTCTTAACAAGAGATACATAAACTCCATCTCTGAAAGGATGTTGAAAACTTTCACAAAAATGAAATGAAATGAATAATTGAGTTTTGTTTGCCTGCTGAGTGATTCATTAATGAATTATGAAAATAGAAAGAACCATTATAAGACAAACATCCTTAGATTAAATCCTGTCAGAAACTAGGAAAAATAAATCCACATTTAGTCAAGAAATTCTGTTGGTGCGTAATCCACTGCTGCCGCTGGTAGATTATTCCATTTAGTTTTAACAATTATCTTCATTATTGAAAAAAAAAAAAATTCTGCTCTGAATATACCCTGCATCAACTTCAAATCATTGTGTTGTTTTTAGCCTTTATTTTACAGTGCTCATTATCAAATCTATGCTTCCCATGGCATGGTATGCAAAACATCACTTAACCCTTGGGATATGTTAAGTCCCTGACGTCTTTCACAATAATGCATGGTTTTCAGTTTCAGCTTTTCTCTGACTTAGTTTCAGCTTTTCTCTGACAGTCTGAACACACAGCTCTTCAATATCCATTCTGGATCATAAGTTCAAGAGAATGGAAGGGGAAGGTAAATAGCTTTACACAGGTAACAAAGACAGAGTAGAGCCTCTCTTTTCCACCTGAGAATATATTTGGGATCCCATTTGCCATTTTGGCGTTACTTTTTGCCTTCACGGATCAAGTATGAAATAGGTCTTTTATAGAAATAACACAGCAAACTAAGGAAACCAGCTATTTTTC